AAGGGCGGAGACGGCGATCGTCGTTTGATCTTCACCCCTGCAGAACGGGTGAAGGCCACGACGACGGCGACGGCGACGACGACGGCGGCGACGATAATTGCAACGACGACGACGGCGACGGCAACGACAATTCCAAGGAGGACGGCGGCGACGGCCAGCACGACTACGACGACGGCGACGGCGACGGCGACGACGACTGCAACGACGGCGACGGCGGCGACGACGACGGGGGCCCCCCCCAGGAGCTGGCCGCCGCCGCCGAGGAGCTCGCGCGCGCCGCCCGCCAGGGGGGACAGCTGAGCGCGGAGGCGCGGCCGCGTCCTGCGGCACCGCCCGCGCGGGGTCTCCCACCTCCGACGGCATCAGTCGCCCGACGAGCGCCCAGGTGAGCGACGCTCCTCGCAGGACGACGAGCGGCGTCAACGCGTTTTCCGTTCGCGGCGAGGCTGGGGTATCGGCACCAGCGAGCAGGCCAAACGGAGACGCCGTCATCGGGAATTGGCCAGCATGCGCGAGCGGAAGACATGGCAGGGCGGGCGGCCGCAGAGGGGGGAGAGGAAGAGAGGCCATGCAGGGGCGGACGTGCCACTCAGCGGCGCAGGCGCACGTAACATCCCGCAGTTGAGGACAAGAGCGAGGGGGCGGGCGCGGGCGGGGCGGCTCGCGGGCGGGTCGCGGGGTGGGTCGCGGGCGGTCGCGGGCGCGTCGCGGGCGAGACAAGCACGACAAGCAGAATCCGCCAGACGGAGCGCCGTTTCTGCCACGGAGCCAGGGACAATGAATGACCATTCGGTACCCTCACTCTGACGTGCTCTCTCAGAGGCCCGCGCGGATTTCGTGGATCGGCGCCGGGCACCCCTGGCGGCGCCTCTGGCGCCGCTCGTGGCGTGCCCCGCCCGACGAATAAGTTCCAGGTTGGGGGGGTGCGGGTCGCTGGAGGTCGCTCATTCAGGCTGTGGGCCGACGAGAGCAGTAGGATCATCCAGAGGGGGGGGGGAGAACGTGGAAGAGGAGGAAGCGAAGAGGAAGGGGGCTGACGCTGCGAGCGCTCGCTCCCACGGTATGGAGGAAGGGAGGAGGAGGAGGAGGAGGAGGAGGAGGAGGAAGGGAGGGAGGAGGGGAGGAGGAGGAGGAGGAGGAGGAGAGGAGGAACGGGGGAGGGGGAGGAGGAGGAGGAGGAGGAGGAGGAGGAGGAGGAGGAGGGGGGATGATGTAGGACGGGGGAGTTGGGAGGCAGGAGACAGAGGCTGGAGAGAGGACGGCAGGCGGGACCGAGGCAGGGAGGGGGGGGGCGGGGCGGTGGGCGAAGACCTGCATGCCCCGGTGCCCCATCCCGCGCAGGGAGGGTGCGGGGCCGCCGGTCTGCCCTTCGGGCCTCCTGCAGGGAAGGAGGGAGGGAGAGGGAGAGGGAGGGAGGGAGGTGGGAGGAGGCAGGCGCCTCCTCGTCCCTCGCGTCCTCTCCTCCCGACGGCGTGCCTGTTCCTCCCCGCCCTCCTCCCGCATCCGCTCCTGGCCGTCAGGCTTTCTCTTCCTCGTCGCCGTCATCGTCCTGATGACTCCTGTCCTCGCCCCCCTCTTCTCCAGGTCTCCGACGTCTTGGGCTTTCCTTTGCGTGGCCCCCCCCCGTTCTCCTGGCCCCTTCTCCCCGGGAGTCGTGCTTCGCATCGGATCGCCCTGTTTACAGCCCTGGGCCCCGACACCCTCGCTCTCGAGGGCCCCAAGAGGCTGGTGAGGGCCGGGGGCGCGTGGATGCCATGGCTGGGGCCAAGAAGTCTCCCAGCTGTCACGTCCCCCTCTCGTCCGCGCACGTGCCTCGGGCCGTGATGCGCACACATGCCCCTCATTCCCACTTCGGCGCATGCCTCGCCCCCCGCCTCGGCGCCGGCCCTCCCGCCGGCCGGGATTCCAGGGGAGGAAGAGGGGAAGGAGGAAGAGTTGGAGGAGGAGGAGGAGGAGGAGGAGGAGGAGGAGACGTGGGCGACGGGTGGCCGGGCATGGCGGGCGGCGCGCAGCGGAGCGGAGAATGGCAGCCCAGCGCAGGAATCCCCCCTCCCCCCGCCTCATCCTGCTCCCTCCCTCCCCCCCCGGTTTCGGGGCGAGGTCGAGGGGCGGAGGAGTCGTACACGAATCCTCCAAAGGTCCAAAATGATCAGGCTCCCTGCTTCCCCCTGCTTTTGTGCCCCCTCCTCCTGAGGTGGTCGCTCTTGCCAAGTCTAGTCATTGCATCGAGTCCTGCGGGAAAAAGGGCGCTCGTTGTCACGGTTCGTGCAGCGAGGCCAGCAAAGCCACCCGGTGTTTCTTAGGTTGGTTCCCTCATCTGCGAGCGACCGACCACATTCTCAGGGTATCTCAGGGTTGGTGTGCTCATCTCGCTGGGGGATGGGTCCATCTGTAGCATGGTTTTCACGAGTCGTTGGCCGTATGGTTCTGGAAGGCCTGTGGGAGGTTCTGTTCGTCTAACCTCATGGGACTCGCCGGTCAGCGCACGCCCCCTTATTCCCCAATGACCAAGACCAGGCGAATATATCCCGACCTAATCTCACAGAACCTCTGGCTCAGAGTTCCCAGCAGGATTGAGAAGGCGGCTCTGGGTCGTTAATCAATACTGACTCGTTTGGCGATTGTTTTCGTCTCATCCCATCTCCTTCCTTCTTCCGCCGCCTCCCTCACTCTCGTCCTCGCGTCAGGGCGGCTTCGCGGGACGACGGCGTCTCCTCCTCCCTCCTCCTCCCCTCGGTGTTCTTCTTTCCTCCTCCTCCCTCTCGCCTCCTCCTCATCCTTCTCCCCATCGGTCTCCCTCCTCCCTCCCCCATCCCCCCCCCTCTGCTGGCGCGGCGGCGGCGGCGGCGGCGTCCCGAGCCCAGAGGCCGCGCAGCTGGAGGATCGGCTCGCCTTCGCCCGCCGGGCGGCGGCGGCCACCCGCGGCCAGGCGCGGGCGGTGGGGGCGGCGGCAGCCCGCTGCGGGGGCCCGGCGCCGTCATCGTCGCTGCCGTCGTCATCGCCGCCATCACCGCCGCCGTCGTTGTCGCCGAGCGTCTATGGGGCCTCAAGGAAAGGGGAGTGTGAGGAGGAGGGGGAGGATGATGCGGAGGGGGATGAGAAGGAGAGGGAGGAGACGGATGGGGGAGGGGGAGGAGGAGGAGGAGGAGGAGGAGGAGGAGGAGGAGGAGGAGGAGGAGGAGGAGGAGGAGAGGAGGAGGAGGCGGGGGAGCAGGAGGGGGGGGAGGAAGAGAGGAGAGGGAGGAGGATGATGATGAGGAGGAGGAGGAGGAGGGGGAGGAGGATGAGGAGGAGGAGGAGGAGAGGAGTAGAGGAGAAGGAGGAGGAAGAGGAGGAGGAGGAGGAGGAGGAGGGAGGAGGAGGAGGAGGAGGAGGAGGAGGAGGAGAAGGAGGAGGAGGAGGAGGAGGAGGAGCAGGAGGGAGGAGGAGGAGGGAGGAGGAGGAGGAGGAGCAGCAGGAGCAGGAGCAGGAGCAGAGGTCCCGCCACGAGAAGAGGGAGAAGCAGCAGGGGGCGGCAGGGGGATGCTGCCGAGGTGGGGAGGGGGGGGGGGGGGATTGCAGAGAAACGAAGAGGATGTGGAGTTGCAGGAGGAGGAGGAGCAGGAGTAGGAGGAGGAGGGAGGATCAGGAGGGAGGAGGAGGAGGAGGAGGAGGAGGAGGAGGAGGAGGGAGGAGGAGGAGGAGGGGGAGGAGGATGATGAGGAGGAGGAGGAGTAGGAGGAGAAGGAGGAGGAAGAGGAGGAGGAGGAGGGAGGAGGAGAGGAGGAGGAGGAGGAAGGAGGAGGAGGGGAGGAGCAGGAGGAGGAGGAGGAGGAGGAGCAGCAGCAGGAGCAGGAGGCCAAGAGGAGGAGGAGGAGGATGATGATGATGAGGAGGAGGAGGAGGAGGAGAGGAGGAGGAGCAGGAGTTAGGAGGAGGAGGAGGAGGAGGAGGAGGAGGAGGAGGCAGGGGAGGAAGGGAGTGCAGGGGAGGAAGGGAGTGCCTGAGGAAGAGCGTGGAGGAGGAGGAGGAGGAGGAGGAGGAGGAGGGGGAGAAGAAGGAGGAGGAGGAGGAGAAGGAGGAACAGGAGGAGGAGCAGTAGGAGCAGGAGCCGTAGGAGCAGGAGCCGTAGGAACAGGAGTTGGAAGAGGAGGATGATGATGATGAGGAGGAGGAGGAGGGGGAGGAGGAGAAGGAAGATGTGGAGGAGGAGGAGGAGGAGGAGGAGGAGAAGGAGGGGGAGGAGGAGGAGAAGGAGGAGTTGGAGGAGGAGAAGGAGGTGAAGAAGGAATGCATGATAATGAGGCATGGCTTAATGAAAGCGCACGCGAGACGCACGATCGTCTTCGGCTAAAGACTAGGATCTGAGCGTGGGTCGGGCACGCGCGCGTGGGTGGCTCCAGCTTCCCCCAACGGCACCGCAACCGTGGGCGAGCAATCGGAGGCCAATAATCAAGATTCGACTCCTCAATGAGAGGGCGCTTTGAAATGCAGCAGTCCCGTTGCCAGACGTCGCCGCTACCAGTGCGCTACTATCAGTGCCCGCTTTGTTGCCCATGAAAAGGACAGAACGTGGTCACGCCAATCTTACCTAGCCCCAGGGTTTATGTATTTCCTCCTCCTCCGTACGGAGTTTGGCTCAGGGCCGCCGCAGATGCCCAACAGGCAGGGTGGCGGTGCGGTTGCGTAGTAACCGGCGCTGCCGCCGCGGTCGCTTGGTCATCTCAGCCGCGTCCGCATGTGGGGGGCGCCACGTGACAGCGCGGGCGCATGGCCGAGCGATGGCCGCCGCAGCAGCGGCGGCACTGGCGGCAGCGCCCGTGCGAGGCCCGTCGAGTTCCCACCCGTGGCCGGAGGGGTGGCGCCCATCTCGGCACGTGGTGGCACCACCAAGCTTGTCCACCACCTGACGGGCGTAAGCGCGAAGCAGGTGTCGAGGCCGGCCGGCCAGCTCAACGAGGTGATGGGCGAGTCTGCGAGGCCTTTGTCCCGGCCGCTGAAGCTGGAGCGGCTCGAGGGCGATGCCCAGACGACCGGCCTGGCGCTGCCCGAGCCTGAGCCGAGAGCAGAGGCCGCGGGCGCCGTCATTCGCACGGGGGGGCCGCCGTTCATGTTCCAGACGGCCGCGCGTCGGAAGCGGGGGGCAACAGGGGTGGGATCGCGAGGTCGAGCTTCGAGGTGCGAGGATGGAGGATTGAGGTCGTTGGCGCGCTGTTGGACCTCTGGAGGGATCCTCGTGGCCACTGCTGGGTTCGTTTCAAGGTTCTAGCCAGAACTGGCCAGAACGCGCCCCAGGATGGATCCAGGACCGATTTCTTAGCCCCGAGCACACGCCCCTTGGTCTCGGAGGAGGGCCAGGCGGGGCAACGGCTGCTCTGCCGCCCAGCCCTGATCTGCTCAGAATTCCAAACCGGTCGCCGGGCTCCTCACATCGGGAACGGCAAGGAAGGGGGTGATGACCAGGGTGGGGGAGGGGGATCTCCTGGCGGCGGCCATGGTGTCTCCCCAGATATCATGGCGCCTCTTACTTCTCATCTCAATACGTCCCTGGCTCGCCCCTGAGCCGCGCACATGCCGCCGGCCATGATTTGCGCCCCCCCCTCCCCCTCTTGGACACCCCCCTCCTTGGCCGCACCCGATCACAGGGTTGATCCTGACCCGCCTTCCGAGGCGGATCCAGCCGAGGCGACGAGAAATTTCCGGAAAGGGCCGCCGTTGTCTCGTCCGCCCCTTCCCCCTCCCCCCGATGGTCTCTAGGCCTCCCAGGTGAGGTCCGAGGAGATGTGGTCGGTGGATCGCGCCGCATCGCCGATGCATCGACGATACAGCTGGATGTGGAGCCCGAGTTTCTCCACGCCGACGTCGCTGATGCATCGCCGACGTCGCAGATGTATCGCCGATGCTTCGGCGATGCATCGACGATGCTGCGTGATTCTCCGGCCCCATCTACTCCGACCCCATCTGGGGAGGCCTCTGTGGTCAAGTTGCTGGAGTAACGACCGCTTGGGGCTCAGGCTGGGCTCGGCTCTCAGGTCGTTCCTCAGATTCCTGTGGTAGAGCCTCTGTGTGTGTGTGTGGCCTGGGCCCGCCGTCACCAGAAAATCCCCTTCGTTCCGTATTCAGCGTTCCTGATGCTAGCACGATGGTTCTACAGTCAACCCCATCTGGGAGGCTTCCCTCCTCCCTCCTGCTCCTCCTCCTTCTCCTCCTCCTCCTCCGTAGCCATTTTGGCTCAAGCCATTTTGGCTCAAGATTTTGCTCTGGGCGGGCTGAGCCCGCATTGGCAATCACGGATACCGCTATTCCGCGGCAGTGCCAGGGTGCTTGCGCCCGACATTCATTCACCTGGTCCGCCCCAGGTTGGAACCCATCCTCCAGCGAGGTGGGTCGGTGAGCTCGGTTGAGCATTCTCATGGGCGGGAAAAAATATCAGGACAAGAGCAACGTGCGGGGCTTCACCTGGTGCCAGAGCTGTCAGAACTGGGCTTGGAACTGGCGCCTCAAGCGCCAGAACGGCAAGTGCGGCGTCTGCGGCGAGATCTGTTTCTTCCCTGACCCGAGCTGGAACGCCTGGGACACAGCTGGCGGAGGCAACTACGGTGGTGGCGGCGGCGGCAACCAGAAGGGTGGCAAGCGCGGCGGTCAAGGAGGTGGCAGCATGGCGATTATGCCCAATACCTTCTTCAGAAGTACCTGGCCGCCGTTGGTCTCACCAAAGACCCCACGGCGCTCGGCCTGGTCAACAAGGTGCAGGCCCAGGCGCTTGCCATCGCGCCCAAGGCACCGCCGAAGTGCTCCTACGTGCTCCAAAGGGAGGCTGCTACCAAGTGCGCCCAGAAGCAGAACGCCCTCAACCAGGCTACGGAGAAGCTGGTCCAGGCGGAGGAGCGCCTCCAGGAGGCGAAGGAACGCCAGCTGTTCGCGGCGGCGGCGCTCTACGATGCGGACCAGGAGCGCATCCTCGCCTAAGAGGCCGTCAGTGCCAAGGAGGCGCCGCTCCCGCCTGCCTCTGGGCCCTTTGGCGTCGACGCCGGCCTCTTCCAGCACATTGATGAGTTTGAAGAGGAGGAGCAGGTGCAGTTGCGAGAGATTCAGTCGCAGCTCGCGGCTGTCAGAGAGGAGGCCAGGCGTGGCGAGTAGCAGTTCTAGGACATCTTCACGCAGGCTCGCAAGGCCCTGTCGGCGCCCAAGAAGAAGCGCAAGGGCCCTGAGGGCGAGGCCCAAGGGGTCGCTGAGGAGGCCCCCCAGGCCCTGCCGATGGCACCGCCCAGTCGCCTGCGGGTGCGCCGCCCCCTGCTAAGGGAGCAGGCAAGGGCCCCAACGTCGAGCTCCCCGCCGAGGCCAAGGAGCGGCGGGCGGCGGCCATCGCCCACCTTGCCGAGGGTGCCCACGTGGCCAAGACTATGGCGGCGGCTGCGGGCTCGGCCGCTCCCCAGCCTGCTCCAGCGGCTGCTGATGCTGACCCTTCTTGCTTTTAATCAGGCGAGCGGCGGCGCCTTGCCGCCCACCGCGTCGGCGTGGCCGACGCCGCCGGGCACCTCCATGAGCATTTTCTTTGCGAGCATCACCGGGCGGGGGCCCGACGGCCCAGCGGCACATCACGGAGCATCATTTCAATACCTCGGTCGGCGGCCTGAACAACGACATCATGGTCGCCCTGGCGGCCTTCACCCGTACCCTCATGGACCCTTGGTTGATCATGGCGGGTTGGAACGTTGAGCCAGAGGGATTCCGCTAGAGCGGATGGTTGCGCCAACTGGGAGGGCGCTTCGCCTTGCCCGACAGCAAGGTCACGTGCGACAAGGGTAAGGGCAGAATGTACGATTCTGTTGTAGCGTCCATTGGCTGCCCCCCTTTGAAGGTCTCTGCGGATCTGGCTGCCCCTTGGAAGACGCACTGCGCTCTGCTCGTTGAAGTGGAGGGGGGGCCGCCAAGAACGGTGGCGCGCGCAGCTCGCCACGCCGAGCCCGCTGCCTTCAACGCCCTATCCCCCAAAGGCGCCTGGCCCTAACAGCAAGAGGCAGCGCGTGCTAGCTGCTAGACGTTCTCGCCGAGAAGAAGCCCTTCCCCCTGAACTGCGGGGGAGCTTTGCCCACGTCGGCGAGCTCATGCAGGACGACGAGGCCGATGATACACGCGCCCCCCCCTCGTTCGCGGCGGGCATGGGGGCCTGGCTGGAGTCAGCTTCGGCCTTGGCGGGCCCGTCGCGCACTCTCCCTACTATGCCAACGGCAACGCCCTCGGCTACGGCACCCTGCACTGGTGCGCGTGCCCTGGGCGACGCCCGCGGAGTCGGGGGAGCGCCCCGCGGACTCACATGTACTGCACCTATGGCTACCCCCTCGGCTACGACATCACGCGCTGGTATGTGTGCCCTGGTAAATGCACGGGGGGTCGGGGGACTGCCCCATCGGGCCCACGCGCGCTGCGGCGTCGGCTGCGCACTCAGCCACGGCGACGCCTGGCGGAGTCGACACTGACGGGAGCTATGCGCGGTGTCCTGGCGTGGCCCCCGGAGCGCTTTGAGCGCCACCTTCTGTTAGAACGCAAGTCCCAGCCCCCAGGTGCACCCGCGATGTAAACAGCGCGAGGGGCTGGGCCCAGTCGCCAAGTTGCTGACTGGAGCCTGCCCCCAGGTGCGCCGTGCACCCAAGGGGTAAACAGCGAGTGGGGCAGGCCCACCTCGATGTGGGGAGCTGCTGCTGTTTGTGGCGCGGCTGAAGGCTTCGCGGAGGGCGAGGGCCAGAACCCTGCGAGGCGAGCGGCCGCGTCGGCGCGCATGACGCTCGAGAGGAGGCTGAGGGCCTGCACCGCGTTCTGGCCCCACGACGTCTCAGTGCTTGGCGAAGCTGGAGGTAGGGCGCGCTGGCTGCGCTTGCGCGTGTCCTACGTGGCCGGCTTGCTGACGCACGGCGCGCGGGCGCCACTCGTCTCCGAGGCTGCTCGGATGGCAGGCGTCGGCAACATGGGCGTGGTCAGACTCAGGTAGGCGCAAGACTTCTGCGCGGAGGCGCGGGCCGCACGGCGGCGCGCGCGCGCCAACTACCACGCCAATATGCGCAGGCTGGCCCAGTCCGACGCGAAGGAATGGGAGGGGCAGGCGGCGCGGCACGGGCGCTCCATGACCGGGGCGGAGGAGGAGTTCGGCTCAGTGCCTGGCAGGCGTGCTGCTGGCGCCGCCCGCGGGGCCGCCGCCGCGGCCCCTTGCCGGGCCGCCTTCGGATGCGACGCGCGCGAGCGGCAGGCCCAGCAGGGCCGCGACCGCTCCGGAGGAGGTCGCGGGGAAGCTGGGGCCCCAGGTTTACGGCGAAGCTGGGCCTCAGCGAGGTGGGCTGGATGCCCGTGCGCGGCGCCCTCTCGGTGGCGGGTCGACTGTGGGCGGCAATTTCAATTTCGATGCGGTCGCTCTGCTGGGCGCCGAGGAAGGCCTTCTCGAGCGCCCTGCTGCCCGGCCCTTGCCAGTTCCAGTTGTTGGTCTTTGGTCTAATCCAGCTTGGGAGATCGCGCCTGTCACCCCGCCGTTGCCCCTCGCTTGCGTTTGGCAGGGAATCCTGGATCGGCGCTCCACTTGGGACGCAGTATGCACGCAGGCCAGCGAGCCCGAGGCGGAGCCCGCGCCTTCCGACAGCGGCTGTCGGCGCGCGGGCGTGGCCAGCGGATTTGACCCACGCGCTTGCAAGGACGTGCCCAGGCGAATGGAAATCTCCGGTTAAACCGTAGTTCGCAGTCTATGACGACCCACTACCAACCAGATGCTCCGGGCCCGCGGGGCAAGCGCCATCGCGCAGACCCACGCGCCACAGTGAAGCTTGAGCGTGCAGTGTGCAAGGTGTCTTTTGAGACCCATCGCCAGCTATCCACGCACATGTGGTCAAAGCATCGCATGAAAAGCTCGGTTCGCCGGATGGTCGGCGACATATCGAGGTGCCCTGTCTGCGGCGTTGAATTCGGCTGCCGCGCGAGACCGGTCAAACGCCTGCTAGAACGCAGGGCGGGGAGTGCAGCGCGCGGCAAGACGTGCCAAGAAGAGTTTTTGACCCTCGAGCTCCCTCGCGTCTCAGCGTGACGCCGCCGTGGCGAAGGCAGCGCGGGCGGCCGGCAACGCGAGCCTGATCGCCGACGAGCCTGCGAGACAGTCGAGGCCCAGCGCCCTCAAGAAGACCAGGGCTCACGGGCCCGGCCCCGCCGATCCCCCCCGCCATCCAAACGGAGGAAGCGAGGAGGAGGAGACCCCAGCGCGCAGTCCACATTTCTTTCTTTTTTCCGGGGCTCTTGTTTCACATCCTCTGCGCGGCGCCTTGATGTGCCCACGCATTGCCGACAGAACGCGCTGGCGCAGTTCGGCGCGTTGCAGCGGCCTCTCTGGCCAGAGAGCGTGCTCGTCGAGCTCGGTCCGCAGAATCTAGGCCTGCATACGATCGCAAGGGTTTTTCACATCGTCGAATGGGCCTCGGAAGCTCGGGCGAGCATCACGGACGACTGCGACATTTGGGTCGGCACCGTGGAAGATGCCATCCTGCGTGCTGAAGAGAAGCCTGCGGCCGAATGGTAGTCCCACATCGGCCGCGCAGCGGGCGCCGTCACTCGTCGCCGTAGGCTCAAGCCAGCTCCAGGCAGGACTCATATGCGTAATGAGTTTGCTGAATGGCGGGGTATTGTAACCACGCTGATCTCTCGATATGCGGCCCTCCTGCGTTGCAGTCAGGATCCAGCACGTCACCACCTTGGACATGGGCCAGAAGGATTCCCACTTTGGCATGCGTATCGCAGTGGAACTTGCTCAGGGTTGGGCGCAGGATGCTGGAACCATGCAATACCTTGATGATGATTCATTGCAGATGTTCGTGGACTGTTCGCACAGATGTGCTGACTTTGCCCGGGGGCGCGCCCTCATGGCCTCCAGGTCCAACTGCATGGCCTGGATCAAGAAGCAGTGGAAGGAGAAACCACGGCTGGCTCATGCCCATGTCAAGCCACAGACTGGCCCAGAGAAGGAGATGCGCCGCCAGCGATCCTCAGGGCATGTTGGAGCTCTATCAGGAGTAGTGGGGCGAGATTTGGACTGGGCGAGTTGACAGCTCGGCCAATATTCGCTACAGGTGCAGTCAGCTGCTGGCAGATGCTCACGCCCAAGGACTGCCTGTTATCACCGTGGACCAATTGGATTGTGCACTCAAGCCCATGGCTCCTGGCAAAGCGCTCGGCATTGATGCGCAGCGCCTTCCTCGTATTGCGCGGCGACAACTGGTGGATATTATCAACGGGGCCGAGCGTGGAGGTGCTTGGCCGACCACCATCTCCACGGCTCTGGGTGCCGCCATCCCCAAGGAGGCGGGTGGCTGCCGCTCTTTGGGCCCGCTGCCCTTGCCCTCCAAGCTGTGGCGCCGCGTTCGCGCTGCACCCTCAACTGCATGGTCTGAGAAGCAAAGTGCATTCTGGGTTACTGCGATTGTTGGGAGCTCGGCGCTACGCGCTGCGTTGGCGCGAGCCGTTATGGATGAGTGCGCCAACGAGCTCCGTATCAGCATGCCACGCTATTCCTGGACCTGCAGGAGTTCTACGGCTCGATCAGTTTCGTCCTCCCCTATGCAGGCGAGCCGCTCCCTGGGCTACCCTGCAACCGTCGCATTGATGGAGGTTTCCAAGTACGCTTCCCCCAGGATGCCCAAGACAGGTCGCAATGTCAGCATGGCCTTCCAGGCGGGCAAGTCGGTCGGTGCTGGGCCGCCTCGAGGTGTGGACATGGCTAACGGCTTCCTGCATGGGCTTCTATGTGTCCCCGACCACGGGGCTGTGGACATTTATTGGTGACACGGTCTGCAGCAATGAAAGGGTCGAGGTGAGGGGTGCCGGGGGCATGCAAAAGGCCGTTGAATCTCTGGCCACCTCCTTCCCGCAGACATGGCTCACCATTTCGGACAAGACAAGACTGGTAGGGGGCTCTCCTGGCATAGGGAAGGAGCTGATCTCCTCGCCCACCGCAATTGGCATTCCAGCCAATCTAGTTGGTTCAGCGGTGGACCTCGGTGTGGATGTTGCAGGTGCTCGGAGGCGGATCCAGAAGAAGTTCCGCATGCGTCTCAAGAGGGCCAAGTTGCGTCCCAACCAGATCCACAAGCTGCGCCGACTTCATGGGGGCCACGAGGTTGCGCAAGGCCTGTGGCGGACGGGATCCTACCCTGCGGCCACCTACGGACACCAAGTGATGGGATTCCTCCGACCACGGTGCTGAGCTTGCACCGCCAGGCGGCTGCTGCCATTGTCGGGCACAAGCGTGGGCGCTGCCTACAGACGGCGCTGCAAGCGACCTTCGGCATCGACGACCCTGGAGTGCAACTGCGGCGAGCCCTGGTCACTGAATTGATCAGGCTATAGCTTGCGCAACCTGCTGTGCGTCCCCGTATCAAGCGCGTCTGGCCTATAGTCCGTGCCAAGCTGGGCGGCAAGATCCCCTGGCGTGGCATGCGCGGCCCCTGTGCAGCCCTGCAGGCTACTTATATCCAAGAGGGTCGGGAACCGCTTTCGGCTATCACTTGGCGGCGTCACGTCCCCACTGGCGCGGGGGATGGGTATGTTCCTACCGTTGGCGACGACACCTTCCAGGACGCTGTCTTGGCCGACTTTGATGAGTTGCTTGCCGCTTTCTCTGCTGACGTCACTCGGCATGGATGGCGCAAGGCTGCTGCCCACCCCCACGGCGAGCCCCTCACTGGTGGTGCCGTTCTGCAGCTGGTACAGGTTGAATTCAATTCCTTCGCGAAGAAGGGCTCCATGGACTTATGGTGGGGCGACGCCGACGGTGGTCTCGGGTGGACAGTGGCCTCAGGACCGCAAGTTGGAGGCAGGCTACGGCGCGGGCCCGCTTTGCCCTCGCTGCCAACAGTGTCGCGAAACTTTGCTTCAGCGTGTCTGGGAGTGCCCAAAATACAGCTGCCACGATGATTACAGTCCCACGGATTCTTTAATCAGTGCAGCCCTTTGTGGGCGCCGACTCCGACCCCGCCCGTTGGCTTCGAGGGGTCCCTGCGTCCTTGCTCACTGTGCCGCGGTTTGTGGAGCCTCCTGGGTCCTCCGGCCCCATCCCCTTGGGCGGCGTGCCCCTGCTGGACCTCTCGTCGCCACTGGGAGGGCACCCTCTTTATGTTTTTGGGGACGGGTCGGGGGGGAAATGCACGTCTGACCGTCGTAGGCGCCGCTGTGGATCGGCCGTGGTGTGTCTGGAGCGCGTCTGTGACGACACGGTTCCCCCCCCGACCGAAGCATGGCTCCCAAGGAGACTCGCTGCCCCCCTGTCTGGAGCAGCGCAGACGGCCCCCAGGGCTGAGCTGCTCGCCCTCGCCCTGGCCCTTGAACACACCCAGGGCCCCTTTGCTGACGCGTGTGGTTGCAAGCCTGTTGTGGACGGCTGGGAAGCGGGCCGTCCTTGGCGGCCCGCTGGGCGCAACTCCGATTTGTGGGTCAGAATCCGCCTGGCTGCTGATCGCCTCGGGCCTGGCTTGGTGGAGGTGCTCTGGACCCTATCCCATCTCGAAGATAAGCGAGAGCGCATCTCGTCCCCGTTTCAATGCTTCCGGTCTCAGGGCAAAGCAGTTGCTGACGTTTGGGCGGGTTGGGTGGCGAAGAGGGGGTGGGACATGGCCGTTGTTCTGCCGGTGCCGCAGACGGACAGGTATGAAGTGATAGCCTCCTTGGTCCGTCGGCGTGCGAGGCGAGCGATTATTGATACCTTAGTACTGGCCCCTTGGAGTGCGGATCGTCCAGCCGAGGTCCGAGCGAGGCCGTTGTCCAAGCTGTCTGCGGCCCTAGCCAGCACCTCCCACCGCTTACAGAAGCTGAGCCAGGGTAAGTTCTTTTGTGCTGGCTGTCGTGAGCTCGTGAATTCAGCCGACCTGGTGGTGGTTGCTGGTTCGCCGTGCGGTGCCGTGTCCTCGGTCCCCCCTGTCGCTACGGCGGACGCGGATCCTCTCACTGGTTCGGCGCCTGCCTCTGGTGGCGCGCTTGGCGCGGCCCCGATTTGCGGGGCGCCGTGTGGTGCTGCGTCACAGTGGCGAGCCCTCGGTGCGGTCTCCTGGCCTGGTCCTTCCTCCTGGGCGGTTCACGGGCGTTGGATTCTCGCGGCGGGCGAGATCAAGGTTGGAAGCCAAAGGCTGCATCGCAGCCACTCCTGGCAGAAGTATGGCATGAGATTCTGCTCAGTGTGCGGCTACACAGCCACTGTCGACCCACGCAGGCTGGTTGCTCCCTGTCAGATGCCGATTGCTAAAGGCAGGGAGAACCTCTCTCGGATTTCTAAGGGCCTCTTCCCCTCCTACAGAGGGCCCCCTGCTGCTATCACGAGCGCACAGGTGGTGGCCCTCGCCTCCGAGGTGAGTCCTCAGAGGGTTGGCGAGCACGGCCCTCTTGAATTGGATGAATGTCTTTGGTATTCCTCCTTGCCTGATGTTTGTTTCGAGGAGGCCCCCAAGGCGGGGACCCCCCCCAGGGAAGAGGTGGGGACCGAAGGTTCGGCGGGGGCGGCGTCGTCGTCGTCGTGGGAAGGAAGGCCGAGCAAGGGAGCGAGAGCGGGGGCGGAATGCGAGCGTGCCGCCCTCCGCGTCGTGGCCGCCTCGCCCCGCTCATCGACGCCGACCCCACGGAGGCGCGCCGCCCCGCCGCCCTCGGATTCCTCTGATTAGCCTCCGCCGCCGTGGATGTGGCCCTCATATGCATTCGTGCATTTCTCCTCCTCCTCATCATCATCATCATCATCCTCCTCCCCCTCCTCCTCCTCCTCCTCCTCATCCTCCTCCTCCACATGTTCTCCCTCCTCCTCCTCCTCCTCCTCCTCCTCCTCCTCCTCCTCCTCCTCCACTCCTCCTCCTCCTCCTCCTGTGTCTGCATGTCCCCAGGAAGCTCGAGGAGATGCAGGGCGCCCACGAGGGGCTCCAGGCCGAGAGCGCGGCCTTGCGGCGGGCGCTGGACACTGCGCGGGAGTCCCAGGAGCCGAGGGGCCAAAGGCTGCATATGTGCACTGACTGTCGA